ACTTTGAATTGTGCTCGGAAGCTAATCGGCAGTCAGTGGGGCTGACCTTATCCCACAAAGGAGGGAAAGTGGGGAAATTGTTTTTTTATTGGTTCTATTTGTTTTAAAGATGGAATCCTACAGAGCTCATCAAACAAAGCAGGACTGCTTCTGAGGGTTGCCCATGGGATCTCGTTTTTAAAAGGTATAGATTGTGAAGTTGGGGCGGAATTACCTCTACTGCATTTCTTGCACATATAAACAGTTAAAATCAGGTATGTTAAAGTGCGATAGGCACTGCTGGGTTTTAAGGTGGAGTGGAACTGTTGGATTTCAAGGTGGGATGGGAATTATGGTTAAATTCTCTTTTTCCTTTGGAAATGGAAGGCCACTGAACACCACACTAAGAAGACAATTCTTCCCAATTCCCCCTCCCCTTGCAAGAAAATTTGGGTGGCAGGGAGCAGTCAAGAAAACTCACATTATTTCTCACTCTCCTAAGCCCTGTTCTTCTACCCCAGATTATATGAGTGTAAATGCAGTGCAGTCTTACATTTGATTGTTTGAAATGTCATTCTTTAACTGTTGCAAATGCAGGATATTTTTCAACAAGTTAAGTTGCTCCCTGAGTGGACACAGCACTATAATAATTAGCTTTCTTATGGCTGCCATAAGAGTATATCTGATGCCCTTGAGAATGGCATGGAATTGACCATTAAGCACAGGATTCAGCATTATGCCAAAGCAATCACTAGGTAATGTGAATAAATTACAGTGAGAAGGCTACTCACAGAAACAAATCACCAGTTCCATTGAATGCATTCGTGTTTGTTGTTTTCAATGTTTATCTCAATGTCAGCTTCCCTTAGTATACCTCATTATTTTGTTTTACGACAAACCTTTATTAAGATCTATCCCTGAAATGACTGGGATATGATGTGTGAGCATTGTCATTGGAAATAAAAACCAGAAATTTCAATATCAACTTCTGGGCTCCTGAGAAATGTCAAATGATGGGTTTCTTTAATTTGCTGAAAACTGCACTGTATAAGATGTTCAATGGCAGCCATGGAATCAAGTGATGGGGAGAAGAGGAGTGAGGTATGCCAAGATTGGATGCCATCAATGCCTGCATGTTTTCATAATCAGAAACATGTTTTACATAGTCACTCAATTTTCTATCCCCGGATGTATCTTTCAGACAACATTCTCATGGATTAGTACTCCAAAAACCTTCCCAACAATATCTGCTTTTTTGGTTAGGTCCTCTCCATTTCAGTGTTTTCATTCTCGGGCATTATATTAATGTGTTTACTTATTTATTATAATTATTGATATTTCATTCTCTGAGGATATAAACCCTTTAAAAGGTAGTTTTGAAGTCACAAAATATATTAATACAATTCTCATGAACAATATCAACACTAAGAGTAACAAGCATCCTTCCTACAGGAGAACTAGTGGGTAGATAGGATGATGAGACAAGATAGGAGAAAGGGCAGAGCATAAAAAGGTTTTTGGAGTACTAATCCATGAGAATGTTGTCTGAAAGATTCTTGAAGCAGAGGTCTCAAAAAGTAACCAGTCCAACTTCCGGGAGAAAATACAAAGAGAACAGGAGAAAACACACAATCTTATCTTTGCTGCCTTCTTACAGGGAAGAAATGCCCCTTTGTCATTCTGGCTGGCCCTGTTACATATACTACAGTGAACAAAGACACAGAAGCTTTGTTTTCTTTATGAAGGCAATGATGATGAAGCTTTCCATCTTTAAACAAGCATCTTTAAAGACAATATGCTCCTGACTCTGAATAAAAATTTGCAGGTTGACAGGGGGCCCTTCCACACAGCTGAATTAAATTCCACATTTTCTGCTTTGAACAGGAATATATGACATGTGGATTCAGATAACCCAGTTCAAGCAGATATTGTGGGATTTTCTGCCTTGATATTCTGGGTTATAGGGCTGTGTGGAAGGGCCCTAGAAGGTCTGATGAGTGCTGAGGACCCTCCTACACAGCCATATAACCCAGAATATCAAGGCAGAGAATCCCACAATATCTGCTTTAAACTGGGTTATTTGAGTCCATACTCAGATAATGTGGGATTTTCTGCCTTGCTATTCTGGGATATAGAGCTGTGTGGAAGGGCCCTGATTAAATATTACTGTGGTGAAATGCATTTTTTCCCTCAGGTCTCAGATCTTTTTAAGTTTAGAACCAAAGAGAAAAGCCCATCTAAGCACAAAGGAACAAATAAGCATTTGGATGATTGCATAAAATAAAATTTGTTGCATCATATTATATATAAATTCATGCAATCCCAGCTAGGTGCATGTCCATTGTTTCCTTTGCATCTCTCTTTCTGTGCCATCTGGCTTAATACGTCCAGCAAGTGCGTAGACTACTGTCAAAATCCCATTCGCTATGGTTAAATATTACGTCATCCTCCCAGACAAGGTACATTTATTTTATTTGTAGCAGTGATCCCTCTAAATCTTCTTAGGAAAATGAATGTGTTCTAAAATTTCTTTTTGAGAGTATATTTAAAGCATTAAAATATTTAAGGGCAATGTTCACGTTTGTTTAACTTCAAAACAGTGAACAAGAAAAATTGCTATGCATTATTTCCCTATTGAATTATATTTGCATCTCTCTAGCGCAGGAAATGGGAAGCAATTTATATAGAAATGTATTCAAGACGATGTTCCTGTTCCTGATGAAGCACGGACGTGAAATTTCATTGCACCATGTGGGTAACATATTGATTTTTGCCAACATTAATGTTTCCATTTGATGCTTAAGCAAATCTAATCTGACTTCTGATTTTACAGAATATCTTACACTAATTAGACAAGTTTGTTCCGTATTGATTTTTCAGATGAACGTACCCATGTAGGGAATTGTAACCCTTCTATTTCAAGAAAATCAGTCTCCCAGCTTTGCAAAGGGTCTTGCAATTAAATCTCCTTTTCCTAATATAGCCATCATTACATTTGAAAGAAGTAAACAAGGGAGAGATTTGGGGAGTGAAAGAAAATGGGAAATGCATAGTGTTCATTAAGTTTTTAATGGAAATTTGCTTTGGAATACCCAGGATGTTTCTCCCCACTGGACTTCACAGAAGTTTCTTCTGTTTGTGATTCAAAACAAAACAAAAACACACCTGAAATATTCCCCAACATCTTGCCATATACTCACAAGAGAACTGCACAATACACAGGTTGGTCTAAACTGTGATTTTAATGAAAATTGTAAAGACATCTTCAGAGTTTACTCACAGGACTCAGTCCTTCAAGGAAAGAGGACAGAAATGTCAAGCTTCCACATTATATCTGTAGGAACCTGATGAGCCTGGGCTGCCCAAGAGAAACCTTGATCTGACAGGTGTAAGGCAACATATGATGAATTATAATGCCGTAATCTATATAAGGAAGCAGGGGAGAGGAGTGGTGATATCAAGGAATCAATGAAAAAATAAGGTGAGGGAAAGAAAAGGTTAGCTCCAAAGTGGTACTTAAAATAATGATTTGTTGATACATACAAATTTTAAATAAATACTCTCTGGAAGTATACTCCTCACTAAAGCAAAAAACGGATACTTAAATGCAGTGCCACTGGTCAAAACTCAAGAAACAAACCAGACCTGGTCCAAAAAGGTTAATAGAAATATAATCCAGATTAACTGGATGCAGAAGAAACAAATCAAACCAAGCACTCTGAGGCAAAACAAAAAGGCACAGTACACAAATGGTTAACAAAAAGGAGGGGCCGCAGGAAGAGAAGCGTCGCCAGCCAAAGTCCAGGGTTGAAGTGGGAGAAATCCGAAACAGCACTGCTGCAGTGTCCGCAGAAGCAGCGTCTTCAGTCAAACCGGTCCAGGTCCAGGAGGGGAGAAGTCCACATTCACGAGAAGCCAATCTGGGTCAATAACACGCAAATGATCAGGAGATCCAAACTGCAGATCCAAAACCAACGCCGAACACGAAACAGGCAGCAACAAGTCTACAGGAATCTTTCCCAATACACAGCACCCAACACACGAACGCTCACCAACATCTTGCCTTCTGCAAGGACCCATCACCCCTGAACCCACTTTCATTTACAAATCATCATTAGAAGATGAACTGGCCACCGCCCCATCATTATCTTCCACAGCTGCTCCCAGCTCTTCACGTGAATTCCCTTGTCCTTCCCTCCAAGTCCTCCATCTCCTGTCAAGACTTAGGTCCCCCCAAGACTCAGTTGGATCCCCTGATTGCCAGTCTTCACCCCCTASAGAACCCCATAAAGSTARCACTAGTTGTTGGCTCCTCACAAATAGCTTSCACWTCRCTTATCRTAGTCRAATCCATGYTGTCTCCTTRTTCTRCTTCACTCATTGACKKARCATCCCCAGAGAATCCCTCAAACGACTCCTCATCTGTAGGTGCTGTAAATATGTCCCGGATCCTCTTTCTCTGCTGCTCATAATCAGATTCCTGCTCCTGAGTAACCCTTTTACCCCCTTCTGGCACCCATACTACTGGACCCATCATTCCTAAAGAATCCCTCAAYRGACTCCTCATCTGTAGGTGCTGTAAATATGTCCCGGATCCTCTTTCTCTGCTGCTCATCATCAGATTCCTGCTCCCGAGTAACCCTTTRCCCCCTTCTAGCACCCATACTACTGTTTGTAATGTTACTCACAGYCTCTACTACAACATTGTGGTTTTACAAAGACTTTAGCCTTCTGTGCCAAAGAGTGCTGGGGCTTTAGTGTTGTAAAACCGCAATAATTCTACAGTGTAGAAGAACCCACAAGCACCAAAGATCCCATCCACAACTCCTGTCATGCCCCCATAGAGGTTTTTATTGTTTTCTCTGTCAAGCTTCAATTGTCCCCTTAGTTAAAATTGGTTTATTTCTCTTTTGTATAGTTTTCTGTGGAAGGAACCTTACTAAGGCCCTATCCTTCTAAGAAACCAACCAGAGGAGGAGTCTTATAGCCTCTCTGCTGTTGTTTTTTTCTTATAGTGCCAAAGTCCTGGGAAGGTGCATTATCTCTCATGCCTAAAGTGTTGAGGAAAAGACTCAAAAGCAAGGTATTACGCCGAAGACAAAATCCAGATAGAGGAAACAGAAGGAATCCAGTAAGTAGCCAAGAAGAAATCAGTTAAATTTTAAGCTTCAATCTGTTCCAGCAAAACAAGTCTTTGTTAGTCAGACCCTGGGAGGGATTAGGGTGCTGATTCTTCAGCATAATTGAATTCCTTTGTTTACTGTTACACCTTTGCCTGTGAGTTTTCTACTCTGTTCTAGCCATACAGGGCAGCATAGAAAGGTTTACTTGGGGAACAGAACACCTCCATATAATGCAGTTTCCAAAACTGCATTATATGGCAATATAGGTGGAGCCCCAGACTCAAGGATCCCAGGGACATGGGGTCTCCAAGGCACCTGATGTTCCTGCTGCTGTTACTGTTACTTTCAACTCACTTCCAAGGGATGGCAATCCTAAAGTGACCCTATCTTAGGTTTTCTTTTGCAAGATTTCTTCAGAAGAGGTTTGCCATTGCCATTCTCTAGTGTTTGATATGCCTAAAAGTGTTTGATATGCCTAAGGTCACATAATGGGGTTCAATGGCTGAGTGGAGATTTGAACCCTGGTCTTCAGAGTGAAAATCCAATCTTCACACTGCTACACTGTGATGGCTCTCCAGCTCCTGCTGTTGATGTCTGCTGAAGGCACCTGCCCCCCAGTAACTTTCTTGGGAATTTTATGTTCCAAGGCAGGAAAGAGAGGAGCCATGACCACTTGTGAATTTTGCATAGAACAAGCTCTGAACAGTAAAGATTTTCATCCGTGTAGGATTCATTATTCTAAAGTTTCTCAATACTTGAGAAACCCATTTAAAAATCATTTTTACAAAATATTTTCAAATATTCTCCTCATGCCTATTTAATGGCACCTAATCTTCCAGTCCAATCAGTAATTTCTTCCTGAGGTCTGAATAATAAGCACACATGGTTGCAGTGGAATTAAATTCAAAGGGCACAGCATATTCCTGCATGTTTGAAATGTTTGTCTGTTCTTAGCTCTTTCCTCTCCTCAGCTATGAGGCTCTAGAATCTGCCATAAGCAAATCTCTTTCTTAATCTAACCTACCTCATAGGGTTGCTGAAGGGGCAGAAGTATACATTAAAAATACTGAAAGAATGATACATCACCATGCACACTCCATTGCTTGGATGAAAGTAGTAGCAGCATCTGATGCATGGTTTATTTGTTTTGAGCCTAGCTTTGTTGTTTTTCTTCTCAAGGTGATTCTTGTCTGCATTATTGATTCAAAAGCACTGTTGATTTCTCTCTGTCCCCTTGGGAGAACAGAGAGAGGGACACTCTGTTTACAATGCTGTTCAGGCTTTCTTCATTGAAAGAATCTCCCCTCTTTTTAGACACCTGGCAGCTGGGATGTGGGAGGAAAGTCATTTTTCTGTCTCTCATCCTCTGTCTCCAGTTGCACTCCAGCAACAGGATAATATAGTGTGCTGGCTCTTCAAAAGAAAAATTTAAAAACTTTCTTTTAAGAGCATCCCTCTAGTGCATGGCTTTCCAGACATTTAATGTTGGTGACATACTTTTTAGACATGCACCATTTCATGACACAGTCATTCAGTTTTACTAGAAAACTGGAGGTCAAACCAAACCCTTGTAAGAGATATTATTGGACACATATACAAACTGTAATTACGAAATATATGTTAAAACAATGATGCTGGGGAAAATTGAAGGAAAAAGGAAGAGGGGGCGACCAAGGGCAAAATGGATGGATGGTATCCTTAAAGTGACTGGCTTGACTCTGAAGGAGCTGGGAGTGGTAACAGCAGACAGGGAGCTCTAACATGGACTGGTCCATGAATCATAGAATTGGAAGAGACCTCATGGGCCATCCAATCCAACCCCCTGCCTAGAAGCAGGAATATTGCATTCAAAGCTCCCCTGACAGATGGCCATCCAGCCTCTGTTTAAAAGCTTCCAAAGAAGGAGCCTCCACCACACTCCGGGGCAGAGAGTTCCACTGCTGAACGGCTCTCACAGTCAGGAAGTTCTTCCTAATGTTCAAAATCTCCTTTCTTGTAGTTTGTAGTTTGAAGCCATTGTTCCATGTCCTAGTCTCCAGGGAAGCAGAAAACTTGGTGGATGACCTCCGTAGAGAGCTGGACAGGGGGAGTGTGACCTTGTTGGTTCTCTTGGACATCTCAGCGGCTTTCGATATCATCGATCATGGTATCCTTCTGGGATGACTCTCTGGGATGGGTCTCGGGGGCAAGGTTCTGTCGTCGCTTCGGTCCTTCCTGGAGGGTTGATCCCAGATGGTGAAGCTGGGAGATGCCTGCTTGGACCCCTGGCCTTTGACCTGTGGGGTCCCGCAAGGCTCCATTCTGTCTCCCATGCTTTTTAACATCTACATGAAACCGCTGGGAGAGGTCATCCAGAGTTTTGGAGTTAGGTGCCACCTCTACGCAGATGACACACAACTCTACTACTCATTTCCACCTAATTCCAAGGAGGCCCCTCGAGTGCTGGACGAGTGCCTGGCCGCTGTGGCTATCTGGATGAGGAGGAACAAGCTGAAGATCAATCCCGACAAGACAGAGGTCCTCCTGGTCAATCGTAAACCGGATCGGGGTATAGGATGGCAACCTGTGTTAGACAGGGTTACACTCCCCCTGAAGTCACAGGCCCGCAGTTTGGGAGTTCTCCTGGATTCATCACTTACGCTTGGGGCTCAGGCGTCAGCGGTGTCCGGGAGGGCTTTTGCACAGCTAACACTTGTGCACCAGCTGCGACCGTACCTCGCAAAGATTGATTTGGCTGGGGTGGTCCATGCCTTGGTCACCTCTAGATTGGATTACTGTAATACTGTCTACGTGGGGCTACCCTTGAAAAGGCTCGGAAATTCCAACTGGTTCAACGGGCGGCGGCCAGGATGTTAACTGGTGCTCCTTACAGAGAGAGGTCAACCCTCCTGTTTAAGGAGCTCCATTGGCTGCCGTTTACCTACCGAGCCCAATTCAAGGTGCAGGTGCTTACCTACAAAGCCCTAAACGGTTTGGGACCTGCCTACCTGCATGACTGCATCTCCGTTTATGAACCCACGCGCTCCCTTCGTTCATCCGGAGAGGCCCTGCTCGCGATCCCACCTGCGTCGCAGGCGCGTTTGGTGGGGACGAGGGACAGGGCCTTCTCGGTGGTTGCCCCCCGACTCTGGAACACCCTCCCCAAAGACATTAGACTAGCACCCACATTGGCAGTCTTCAGGAAGAATCTGAAGACCTGGCTATTCCGATGTGCCTTTCCGGAATAGGATAATCTCCAGCACTATGTCCCAGAAGCAGTTGCCCGGAAATCCAACATACCTCCTGCCACACCCAGCACTTTTTAACCTGTACCCATCATTGGCCCGGCCCTGGTTTTTATTGCGTAATGATGTAATGTTTTGTTATTGCTTATGTTTTAATTTGCTTTAAATTGTATTGTTTTTGTTTTGCTGTTGTTGTGTTGAGGCCTTGGCCTTTGTAAGCCGCATCGAGTCCTGCGGGAGATGCTAGCGGGGTACAAATAAAGTTTAATAATAATAATAATAATAATAAACAAGCTTGCTCCCTCCTCCCTGTGAATACCTCTCACATATTTGTACATGACTATCAGCCTTCTCTTCTTCAGGCTAAACATGTCCAGCTCTTTAAGCCGCTCTTCATAGGGCTTGTTCTCCAGACCCTTGATCATTTTAGTCGCCCTCCACTGGACACAATCCAGCATGTCAATATCTCTCTTTAATTGTGGTGCCCAGAACTGGCCATTATATGCTAATCAAGGTGGTCAGTTGAAACATTCACACCTAGCTCCAGCAGACAAGAGTCCTTTGTCTCACCCTGGTCATTCCACAGATAAATAAACCCTTTTTCCTAGTTCCAACAGACCTCACTACCTCTGAGGATGCTTGCCATAGATGCAGGTGAAACGTCAGGAAAGAATGCCTCTAGACCAGGCATGTAGCCAGTGGGGGGACTTTGGGGGCTTCAGCCCCCCCTCCCCCGGAATTCTCATTGTGGTCTGGGAAAAGGCCTTACTGGTACATAATTTAGACTGTTATGTTTATTCATATCATGATCTTAATACCATGCTCAATATATCTCATATGCATGGGAGTATTGGGGTAACGATACAAAAGGTTTGCTAGGGTAGACCCTCTTTCACTCAGACTCAGCCCCCCCCCCCAATAAAACTCAGCCCCCCCCCCCCCGCCCAAATCAAAATCCTGGCTATGAGCCTGCTCTAGACCATGGCCATATAGCCCGAAAAAACCTACAACAACCCAAAATTATTATTATTATTATTATTTGTCCTGAATCCAACATTGCTTCTAATCCTGCAATGTTCCTTGGTCAACGAGTCTTTTGAATTTCTCTTCTAGCATGCCAGCAGCAAAGTGATATCAGGTGTGGGATTCCCTTCTACTATTCCCAAGCTGACTGTTTTTATATTTGCCTTTCTATGTTTTTATTTCACTAAAAATAAAAATATAAATTCAAAAATTAAGGATCCTCAGTAGTATGGGAAGGCAGAGATATATGGAAGTACGATCATGGGACAATAGATCAGTGAGTTGGCACAATTGTACTACTGAAAAAAAGGTTAGATATCAAAGGTGCTCAAAATGGTATGTATGCTCTGTCAAAGATAATGTGATGATAGGGAAATAGCATGTTTCAGCAAATATTTTATTACAAATTAATAACATCTATGTACAAAATACAACCACTAGGTCAGGGAAGCCTTCCACAATTAAACAAAAAACCTACAAACTTTCTGTAGAGTGCTTGAACGTTCTGTAGAGTGTTTGAAAAATAGATCCAAGGATGATTTCTTTCTTTCACCAGTCTCTACCTTGCTTATATCTAGTTTTGTTCCCAGATTTATAGATCTGCTAATATGATAGGGGTGGTTGCTGAGGTAGGCATATCTGCTCTCTGATTTTTCTTTCTGATTTGCTGTTCATGTGCTCAGTGAGGAAGTCTTGAAGCAGCTGCAATTAACTTTGCCTGTTGTAGGTAGGCACACATCCACAGACATATTGCTATAAAC